GTTTCAAAACATATCTCGTAAAATCTGAATGAGAATTAAACTTCAAATTGAAGTCAGTCCGAACAGACAACGGAATGGAATTTTGTCACGCCGAGTTTGAAGATTATTTAAACAATCTGGGAATTCGAATAGAGCGAACTTCAACTTATTCACCAGAACAAAACGGGATTTCAGAAAAATTCAACCGTGACGCAGTTGAAGCTGTTCGAGCATCACTTCACGATAGTGGACTAAATGACCGATTTTGGGCTGAAGCTCTATATATGTACGTTCATGTACGAAACCGAAGTGAACACAAGTTAACANTTAACAAATGGATTAACACCTTTTGAAATTTGGAGTGGATACAAACCATCAGTTCGACATCTAAGAATATTTGGTTCTTTGGCATTTGTTCATGTACCCAAGATAAAACGCAACAAATTGAACAAGACATCAAAACTAGGAATCTTAGTTGGCTACGCAACAAGAATGAAAGGTTATAGGATCTATATTCCAGAAGAAAGAAGAGTAGTAGAAACTATTCATGCTAGTTTTGACGAGACGAAAAATGGAGTAGAGACATTATTTGGGAAGAATAAGAAGTGTGAATACGTAAGATACAAAGACTGCTACCTAGAACAAGTGTTAGACAATAACGAAGAAACTGTTACAAAGAAAGAAGAAATGCTACCAATAAAAATTGAAGAGTGGCAAAGAGTTGAAGCACCAAGAAAATTAAGTTCAAGAATAGATGTTTACTATTACCCACCTTCAAGCAAAGAGAGACTTCGATCAACTATGAACGTAGAACGATTTTGTGCTAAGAACGGATTAAAGTTCCAACCAGAACTATTTTCATTTAAGTCGACAAGTCCAAAGCAAGAAGATAGCGGAGATTCATCGTCGGATTGTGTAGTTCAAGATTTCGAAGATATTTTTGAAGACGAAGTATACAACTTGGAATCGCCTAGAACGTACGAGGAAACTCAAGAATCTGCCGACAAGGATAAGTGGAATAAATCCATGGAAGATGAAATTCAAATGATGAAAAATCGTAAAGTATGGGATTTAGTTGAACCTCCAGAAAGTGCCAAAATCATCGGAAGCAGATGGGTGTATAATGTGAAGCGAGATGATAAAAACCAGATAAAGAAATTCAAGTCCCGGCTGGTAGCTCAAGGAT